GAGGGCTGTGTTTACCTGCATGGGGATGCACAGGTGTTCTAGGCATCCCTGTGCAGGCCGTCCTATTCGTGTCAATTGGGGTGCAGTGGCTGCAAGAATAGATCTGACATCTGTGGGGTGTAGGTGCATGGCCCCAAATGCAGACAGTGTGAGTTCAGGGGACATACACCCACATGGATGTCAAGTTGGAAACAGTGTCCATGCAGCAACTGCATCCCAATTGATATGGATGGTACTGTCTGCACAGGAATGCATAGAACATCTCTGCATTCCCTTGCAGCTGCTGTGTACCAATTGACATCAACACCTGTGCATCCTTGTGCAGGGATGCATGGGACACCTGTGCATCCCTGTGCAGGGATGCATGGAACACCTGTGCATCCCTGTGCAGGGATGCATGGAACACCTGTGCATCCCTGTGCAGCTAAACCTCACTGTAGTGTGACCTGCTTGAACAACCTTAGGCCTTGCTTACACACTTGCAGTTGGGGGGCAGCAGAAATGCACAACTAAGCTGAGTTTCTGTGCTCACCAACACCCCCCATAATCTGCAACAGGCAGATTCATGCCCGTGGTACAGTTGACCCAACTTGTACTGTGGTGATGCCACCTTCTGAATGCTACACATTCAAGTCTAAGGAAACACCACAAAAGCCCTACAACTGCATGAAATACACGCAGTTGCAGCACATTTGTCAGCAGAAACAAATTGCATTAATTCCACAGAGATCCTTGGGGGCACTGATGCTGGGGGGTGGGATTGGTGCTGGGAGGCACAGTTGACCCAACTTGTACTGTAGTGATGCCGCCTTCTGAACGCTACACATTCAAGTCCGAGGAAGCTAATGCTGGGGGGTGAGGATTGGCGCTTGGTGCTGGACGAGTGGTGAAGGCAGGGACAGTGGGGGGCAGCACAGGCATTTTAGGCAATGCAGGAGGGGAGGAAGCAGATTGTGAGAGGTAGAAAAGCGGTGGCGGTATCGGCAGGGGGGGGAATTTAAAATTAACAACTCTAATCAGTGGCTTTTTAGCCGCTAATCAAAGCTATTCTTTTATTCAGCTGAGTCTGCTGAACATTTCTGCTATAAGTTCATGGTCACTGAAGTGAGGAATGTAGACCTGGCCTGCTGGAAGCAGTGATGTAAATCCATATACTGTATGGACCTGGCAGACAAATTGTTAAAGTGGTCCCTGTTACTATGTAAAAAAATGACACATTAGTGACATAGCAGGTGTCAGAGCAACTATAGTGTCCAATAGAGAACACACTATCTGACTTGCCAGGCATCCTAGACATTTTCCATTTGCACACTACGGGTGAGACGATGGATTCACATTGGACGTTTTACATGATGTTTATTATATTATGTGACATGCTATGTAGCATATATACAACCCTGAGCACCTGAATTTCTGCTGTTCTATGCCCCATGTGAGGGCCATGTTTTACTTGACGGATTCAGGGCATCCCCATGCAGGCAGTCCCATTACTGTCAATTGGAACACAGCAAGCTGTACGGACACCCTGGGTGCATTTTCAGGGCACATGCCCTCACCCTGCATGTCACATTGGAGCAGCGGCTGCATCCATGTAGCTGCTATGTCCCAATTGAGAACCATGGGACTGCCTGCACAGCCATGCACAGCAACACCTGTGCATCACCTGTTCGGGTAACCATAGCTCTCACATGGGGAATGGATTCATACGCCCCGTGTAAACAAGGCTAAAAGTGGTTCCTAAAGGTAGGTTTTTTTTACCTTAATGCATTCTATGCAATTATTATGTATTTCTTTATTTCAGGTACTTATATATCGCCATCATTTATGCAGCACTTTAATATATATTGTACATTCACACAGTCCATAACCCTCAAGGGGCGTACAATCTAAGGTCCCTAACTCACATTCATACACATACACATACTAGGGCCAATTTAGACAGGAGCCAATTAACCTACCAGCATGTCTTTGGAGTGTGGAGGAAACTGGAGTACCCGGAGGAAACCCCACACAGGCACAGGGAGACCATGCAAACTCCAGGCAGATGATGCCGTGGTTGGGATTCGAACCAACGACCCGAGTACTGCCAGGCAGAAGTGCTTAACCACTTAGCCACTGTGCTGCCCATTAAGGTGAAAGCCCTTCTGTGTGCACCCCTACCTCCAAGCCACCCCAATACATACAGCCCAATCTTGATTCAGCACTGTGCAAGAAAGCAGTAGCTCTCTCCGGTCTCCTCTCTCTTCTCATTTTGACAGAGAGCAGCAGCAGGAGCCATTGGCTCAATCACAGCCAGTGAGGAGAGTGCAGGGGACAGGGCTGAGCCAAGCTTTGTGTGTCAATGAACACACAGAGCGCCGTTACTGGAACGAGTCCCACAGGAGTACACCCCCATAGCAACCAGCTTCCCATGGGGGCACTCAGCAGGAAAAGGAGGAGACAGAAGCACTGGTGGGGGACCCCAGCAGAGGAGGATCTGGGCTGCTCTGTGCAAAACCATTGCAGAGAGCAGGTGGGTAGGACATGTTTGTTAATAAAAAAAAAAAATACTTTAGAATTACATTAAATTACTGAATATTTACATAGCAACAGGGTCACTTTAAATACTGAAACATTTTTCCACTGGTTCAACTCACCCAATTATTTCCATGTATGCAAAATGTGTGTTCATGCCAGGTTTTTATTTAAATACAGATCCATCCACAGGAAACATTATCTGAGCAGAATCAACTCTAATCATCTTCAGACATGGACACATCTGTGGTTACTTTTCATTGTGTCTTTAGTACAATGTGTGTTACTTTTAATTGATTTTTACTAATTTGAACTAAGCTATAGGATGAAGTATATAACAAGATATAATATCTCTTTGCAGGTGTGACATCAAAAGTCTCAATGGTGGAGTCTGGTCTGGGACAGTGAAACCAACAGAGACTCTGGAACTGACCTGTTAAAGTGACCGGAGCCTCGCCTCAATGACAGCACTGTTGTGGACCTTTTGAATTATGTCTCAAAAACATGATTTATCAAGACATAATCCTATATAACATCAAGTCAGCATAGCCGGATGTTTAAGGGTTTAATTTGTCTTGGTTGGAAAGTCGAATGACCATTTAGCTAGAGAAATGTTAACGATGGGTGAAAGGAGTTTTTTTTTTTCTCCTCCTAGAGACAATATACTATTTGAAGTTCTACAGGTGGTCAAACACCATTATTCAGACTTCAATAGCAGGTAAACATATACAAGGTCTGGACATGACAATAGAGGAACCAAACTGATTTGTCTGAGAGCTTACCCAAACCTTGCAGAGTGTGATAAACCCAACAGAACTCTCAAACTATCACAATAATGCTATTGTCCACCAAGTGAAAGTATTAACAGTTGTTTACTGTGACTCCAATACAAGAGCCAGGCAAACAGAGAGTTGTTCCCTACACATAGAAAATGTGATTCTAAAACAAAATTCAGGACACAAGGTTAAGAAATTGAATGTATCTAACTACAAAGATATACTACAAAAAATATTATAAATGAGATGTTATAAAGGATAGGTTTTACACACCACCAAATATTCAGCAATGGAAACTAATTTATATCACTAACTTGAGTATTGAGATGATGAAAGTAAGATGTATTATAAACTAGCATTAGAATATGTCTTATCAGGAAACAGACAGGATGGTATTTTTCAAGAAGGAATACCTGAATATACACATCTATTCCATGGTCCCTATTTAGGATATTATAGGTATGATCACTTCTATATCTGGAAAAAGCCGTATATTTAATCCATGAAATTACCTTAAAATTCCACCCCGAGGTATGAGTCATCTCAAAATACTCAAATTGTTCTATGATACATGACTGCCATCTGGCGGGCAGGTGAGAAATACTTATGTACACACATTTCTCAACTAGCCAATCAAGAAGCCTGGTGGGAAGGTATCTTAGAAACAATGGATTAGTTGGTATAAAATCCCTTGCACCTTTAAGAAAGAAAAAACTCATCAAAAGAAAAGACCTCATCAAAAGAAAACTGATCAAAAGAAAGAAAACCTGACTGAAGAAAGACCTGATTCTGAAGACATCTGAAGAGACCTCTCTATAACCCCTCTTCCATCCTTTCAAACTTCCAAACTTTACTAAATTTCTAAACCTCTGTCCTTATAACTTCCTACATTCTCCCCACACTATTGAACTCTATCTCAATTTCCCCTTGGTCATCATTCTAAAAGGCGTTCACACTGCCAGCTAAATCCACGGGAGAGTTTCCTAGTCTGAATGCCGGGTGCGGTGAAGATTGTTTATTTGATTTTACATTACCTATTTTCTCTGTTGTGTGGAATCATAGAATTAACCTTAGTGTATCACAACAATACTTGGGTAGTTCGAAGATATATGTAGAGAGATCCTGTTTTACTGTTTCGAAATTGTGTGGTGTCAAATTATAAATTTTTTTATATTTCATAATTTATTGAATATTAATAATCAGAGTATAATATATCAAGGGATAGCTTCTTGCAATCCTATGGCACGGCTTGTGAGAATATAACCTTTGAGATACTCGAAATTATTAATAAATTAATTAATAAGCAGATCATTTAAAAAATTTGTGATATTGATTAATTAGTTAGAAACCTTATTATTGTGTCTTACATTGGTAGGATATATCTTTGATTGTTGTGTACCAATATTCATTTATCGCCAGTCTTTTGCGTTTTGTGTTAATATATATATAATTTTTGGGTACATAAATAAATTTTTATATTTATCTATTATAAGGCAAATTTTGTGTGTATGGTACGAAATCATACTGGCTAAAAAAGATTCAAGGTATAATAATAAGTGGTGATCAAATTATCAAGGTGTCCAAATTATTGGTGTACTAAAATATTTGCCGTATTTTAACGCTGGAGGCACTGTAATATTTCATCTAAGGGAAAGGGACACGCCCTTTATAAGTAAAATATATCCTTACATAAACCACCACAGCACTAACATGTATGGTGTGCAATGGATCCGACAATCTGAAAGGGAACAGATGGAGTGGTTGGGAGCAATATATCATGAGGCAAGCACAGGTTATGCTAATTCTTTTAAGGGACGACTGACTCTGTCCAGAGACACAAATAAAAGGGAAGTGACTTTAAAACTCACTGGAATGAAACCTGAAGAATCCGGCACATATTATTGTACAAGATACGCACACGGTATCATGTACTCTAACAACATGTACACAAAACCGATTTACTTTTGAAAGAGACATGGTTATTAGAAGAGCTTAATTACCAAGGGGGAATTCATGTTATTGCTGACATTAGTGCAACTATTCCATTTTGCTTCTCTGAAATTTTGCAGACATATAATGCAAATTAATTGGAGTCAACAGGGATGGCGAAATATGGGGCAGGAGGTTTAAGGTAGTTTAAGCAGTCTTTAAGAATTCTAAAGCTTTTTAAATGGCTCCTTAGTATCTTTTATGTTCTAAATGTTCTGTATGTAAAAATGGCATCTACAATTGTCAGGAATTGACCTAGACTTAAAGTGGTTCTAAAGGCAGAAATGTTTTTACCCTAATACATTCTATGCATTAAGGTAAAAAACCTTCTGGGTGCAGCTCCCCCTCAGCCCCACCTATACTTACCTCAGCCCCCCGTCTCGATCCAGCAATGTGCATGAGAGCAGGAGCTCTGCCCAGTCTCTCTCTCCTCATTGGCTCACACAGCAAAGAGAGCCATTGGCTCCTGCTGCTGTCAATCAGAGATAGTGAGCCGATGAGGAAAGAGCTGGGGCAGGGCTGAGACATGCTCTGGTTTTACGAATGAACAATATCCATTCCCAGAAGCACGGATTGGGTGTGAGCATGCCTGAGTGACCCATAGCAAGAGACTGGCGATTGTGGGCACTTGGTAGGGGGGAGGAGCCAGAAACCACTGACGGGGGACCCAAAACAAAGAGGATTGGGGCTGCTCTGTGCAAAACCATTGCACAAAGCAGGTAAATATAAATTCCAATCTTTACAATCACTTTAAAGTGGAATTAAACTCTGCTATGTTATTTTAAATACATGGGCCCCCAGGAGGTTTGTACCATAATGTGCCAGTGTGCACAGCTTATTAACACACTTTGACAACACATTAGATTGTTCTGTCAGATCTCCCACTTATCACAGGGGATTCCATCTTCTACTGGTCTTCCTTCCAGGTTTACTCTGTTTGGGCCGCTTGAATGGTTGTGCTACGATGAGGTCATAGTTGCCAACATTGCAGAAAGATTTTTTGGGGACACCCCTATTTTACTGTGTGTCCAGCAAGCCATTGTGGGCGGAGAATGTACTTTATTTGGTGGGTCATTCATTAAAATGGACGTGATTCTAGAAGAGGCATGGTAAACTTATTCATGTATTTGTTACAGCATGCATATATAACAAATACAAAATATAATATATATTCCTGGAATACATGCAGACAGGTAGCATTTCCCATTAAAAACGGAGGTCATTAAGATTGTTAGAGCTGGCAAGCTATTTGTTCGCTAATTCTAAAAATGGCCCATGCTTGCAATTACAGTGGAAATTAACATTAATCGCTTGCCGCCCTGCCACTGTATATATACGTGTGCAGGGCGGCAGTGGAGCGCAAAAGCACGTTTTAAAAACGGGCTCCGCGCTCATGACACTTTCGCGGGTAGGGGACCCGCGGGTGACACGATTCGATCCAGGAGGGATCAATCATTAGATTTCAGCCAGTGATTTTTTCTGGCTGAAATCACATGATCGGTCCCTGTCCTATCCTGTCCTGTGTTGACATTTACACAGGGCAGGATATGATGTAATTCCTCTCTGCCTGGACACATTCCGTTCCAGACAGGGAAGAAGACACAGTAAAAGTGAGTACAAAGCACTACACTAACAGTTTTCAGAACACACCTAGGACACATTTAACCCCTGATCGCCCCCCCCCCCCCAGTTAACCCCTTCACTGCCCTGTCACTAGTGTCACTGATCAGTGAAGCGATTTTTACTGATCACTGTATCAGTGTCGCTGGCGACTTCCGATAGAGTTAGCGCCCCTCCCAGATAGCGCCAGATATTTTGCCCGCCAGTAACACCAGTAATCCCGTTTAAACCCTTGATCGCCCCCCCCAGTTAACCCCTTCACTGCCCTGTCACCAGTGTCACTGATCAGTGAACCAATTTTTTACTGATCACTGTATCAGTGTCGTTGGCGACTTCCGATAGTGTTAGTGCCCCTCCCAGATAGCGTCAGATTGCCCGCTAGTACACCAGTAATCCCATTTAACCCCTTAATCTCCCCCCCCCCCCCAGTTAACCCCTTCACTGCCCTGTCACCAGTGTCACTGATCAGTGAACCGATTTTTACTGATCACTGTATCAGTGTCGCTGGCGACTTCCGATAGTGTTTAGCGCCCCTCCCAGATAGCGCCAGATTGCCCGCAGTACACCAGTAATCCCGTTTAAAACCCCTTGATCGATCCCCCCCCCCCCCCCCCCCAGTTAACCCCTTCACTGCCCTGTCTCCAGTGTCACTGATCAGTGAACCAATTTTTACTGATCACTGTATCAGTGTCGCTGGCGACTTCCGATAGTGTTAGCGCGCCCCTCCCAGATAGCGCCAGATTGCCCGCCAGTACACCAGTAATCCCGTTTAACCCTTTTGATCGCCCCCTCCCCAGTTAACCCCTTCATTGACCTGTCACCAGTGTCACTGATCAGTTAACCAATTTTTACTGATCACTGTATCAGTGTCGCTGGCGACTTCCGATAGTGTTAGCGCCCCTCCCAGATAGCGCCAGTTTGCCCACTAGTACACCAGTAATCCCGTTTAACCCCTTGATCGCCCCCCCCAGTTTAACCCCTTCACTGCCCTGTCACCAGTGTCACTGATCAGTGAACCGATTTTTACTGATCACTGTATCAGTGGCGCTGGCGACTTCTGATAGTGTTAGCGCCCCTTCCAGATAGCGCCAGATTGCCCGCTAATACACCAATAATCCCGTCTAACCCCTTGATCGCCCCCCCCCCCCCCCGAGTTGACCCCTTCACTGCCCTGTCACCAGTGTCATTGATCAGTGAACAGATTTTTACTGATCACTGTATCAGTGTCGCTGGCGACTTCCGATAGTGTTAGCGCCCCTCCCAGGTAGCACCAGATTGCCCGCCAGTACACACCTGTAATCCGTTTAACCCCTTGATCGCCCCCCCCCCCCCAGTTAACCCCTTCACTGCCCTGTCACCAGTGTTTACTGATCAGTGAACCAATTTTTACTGATCACTGTATCAGTGTTGCTGGCGACTTCCGATAGTGTTAGCGCCCCTCTCAGATAGCGCCAGATTGCCTGCTAGTACACCAGTAATCCCATTTAACCCCGTAATCTCCCCCCTCCCCCCCAGTTAACCCCTTCACTGCCCTGTCACCAGTGTCACTGATCAGTGAACCGATTTTTACTGATCATTGTATCAGTGTCGCTGGCGACTTCCGATAGTGTTAGCGCCCCTCCCAGATAGCGCCAGATTGCCCGCTAATACACCAATAATCCCGTCTAACCCCTTGATTGCCCCCCCCCCCCCTGAGTTGACCCCTTCACTGCCCTGTCACCAGTGTCATTGATCAGTGAACAGATTTTTACTGATCACTGTATCAGTGTCGCTGGCGACTTCCAATAGTGTTAGCGCCCCTCCCAGATAGCGCCAGATTGCCCGCCAGGACACCAGTAATCCCGTTTAAAACCCCTGCATGGGATTTTAAATTAACAGCTCTAATCAGTAGCTTTTTAGCCGCTAATCAAAGCTATTCTTTTATTCAGCTGAGTCTTCTGAACATTTCTGCTATAAGTTCATGGTTACTGAAGTGAGGAATGTAGACCTGGCCTGCTGGACGCAGTGCTGTAGATCCATATACCGTATGGACCTGGCAGACAAAGTGTTAAAGTGGTCCCTGATACTATGTAAAAAAAATGACACATTAGTGACATAGCAGGTGTCAGGAGCAACTATAGTGTCCAATAGAGAACACACTATCTGACTTGCCAGGCATCCTAGACATTTTCAGTTGGCACACTACGGGTGAGACGATGGATTCACATTGGACGTTTTACATGATGTTTATTATATTATGTGACATGCTATGTAGCATATATACAACCCTGAGCACCTGAATTTCTGCTGTTCTATGCCCCATGTGAGAGGGCCATGTTTACTTGACGGGATTCAGGGCATCCCCATGCAGGCAGTCCCATTACTGTCAATTGGAACACAGCAAGCTGTACGGACACCCTGGGTGCATTCAGGGGCACATGCCCTCACCTGCATGTCACATTGGGAGCAGCGGCTGCATCCATGTAGCTGCTATGTCCCAATTGAGAACCATGGGACTGCCTGCACAGCCATGCACAGAACACCTGTGCATCCCTGTTCGGGTAACCATAGCTCTCACATGGGGAATGGATTCATACGCCCCGTGTAAACAAGGCCTAAAAGTGGTTCTGAAGGTAGGGTTTTTTTTACCGTAATGCATTCTATACTTTATTATTTATTTCTTTATTTCAGGTACTTGTATAGCGCCGTCAATTTATGCAGCACTTTACATATATATAGTGCATTCATATCAGTCCCTAACCCTCAAGAGGTGTACAATCTAAGGTCCCTAACGCACATTCATACACACACATACTAGGGCCAATTTAGACAGGAGCCAATTAACCTACCAGCATGTCTTTGGAGTGTGGGAGGAAACTGGAGTACCCGGAGGAAACCCACGCAGGCACAGGGAGACCATGCAAACTGCGGGCACATGGTGCCGTGGTTTGGATTCGAACCAACGACCCGAGTACTGCCAGGCGGAAGTGCTAACCACTTAGCCACTGTGCTGCCCATTAAGGTGACGAAAGCCCTTCTGTGTGCAGCCCCCTACCCCCAAGCCACCCCAATACATACAGCCCAATCTTGATTCAGCACTGTGCACAAAAGCAGTAGCTCTCTCCGGTCTCTCTCTTCTCATTCGACAGAGAGGCAGCAGCAGGAGCCATTGGCTGAATCACAGCCAGTGAGGAGAGTGCAGGGGACAGGGCTGAGCCAAGCTTTGTGTATCAATGAAGACACAGAGCGCCGTTCTGGAACGAGCCCACAGGAGTACCCCCATAGCAACCAGCTTCCCATGGGGGCACTCAGCAGGAAGGAGGAGACAGAAGCACTGGTGGGGGACCCCAGCAGAGGAGGATCTGGGCTGCTCTGTGCAA